CCGTGGTTGTAGGAAAGAAGTTTTCTTAATGTATGGCCTGCTTTAGGAGCAGACAGAGAGACCTTAATACCCCGATCTTCAGCTGTGGGTTTGTGGCTATGATTAGGAGCGTATTTACCACAAGGCAAACAAGGCATTTGCCTAGGGCAGCATTTTTTAGGGGGGCAGCACTGCCCCCTGGAATAAGGGACATATGTGGCATGGGGACTAGGTGGGATCCAAGAGAGGCTGTGGGCTGCTTGATGGTGTATGCAGAGCCTGACTGTCTGTCATTCCCGTGGATGTCCAGAGCTGTGAAGGTGAGTGTCTTTCTCTTTCGCCGATGGGGGATGTTAGTGGAAGGCTCTCTCGGGTGGGTGTATGAGGCAGGGGTATTGTTGGTCACTGGTGTTGGTCGATGTCAGGCTCTCTCCGCCGGGGAGAGGGGGCATCTGATTTTTGTGTTACCTAGGGCAGCACAAAACCTAAAGACACCACTGGCTATGACTGGATGGCCCCTGGACCTATAGAGGATCTCCTTTGTGTGGGAGGAAAGACAACCTTAGTGAGTAACAACTTACTAAACAGACTGTAACATCTGGGGGAGATTAATTTACTAATAAGTGTTCTGCACCTTTGTGACCACTGCAATGCAAGCTATGAGAAAGAGGAGCATGCTCTGCACTATGAACTGACAACACCGAGTTAAAACTGTCAATGTGCTGCAAAGGTCCTGTAACAGAAGAATTGTGCTGGACTGACGTTTGTGCAGATGTGTCAATGCAACTTGTCTGGACATTTGTTTATTTAGGACAACAGGCCTCAGACCAGGGATATGTATGTGAGGGGGCTTCAAGCCACCAAAGATGGCACAATATGGTGGCTTTTCCCTAAATCAACAGATGGGTGGCTGTCCTATGCAAGAAGAAGCATGGCAGGTCCAGGGTTCACATGGCACCATTAACCAACAAATGGGGCCCCACCTTACAAGTTGATCACTGAGCTCTTTGCTTATCCCAGCTTTTTTCACTACTCCCATTTATTCTAGTGACTTTAGAGTCCTGAAATAAAGCACATTGCCACAGTAAGGCCATACCACAGTCTTATAAATGTAGCCCCCAGTGTCTTTACTGAAGAGTTAATATAATGGTGGGCATTAAAGTGTTACTAAACCCAGGACCCTGCATTCACTATATCTGGGCTCCCACAGTACACATTTGCAATTATTTTAGTAAATATAAACTGCTAAATACCTTTTCTTATCAGCAGTTAGAGCAGTCTTGTGACTTCAGCAGAGCATTGGTTAAAGCTTGTAGGAGGAGTTTTCTTTCTGCTCTAGGAGGATGCAGAACCCCTGACCTCTGTCTGGACAGTGCTGATTGGCCCTATGCTGATCACATGCACTCCCCCAGGAAAAAAAAGTGAGCATGTGCAGAAGGGCTAGGGGTTCAGTCTGTCTTATCAGTGTGGACATTTGAACAAGAGGAGGGGCAGAGAAGTCAGGATCAAACAGCCTTTTTGCACAATGCAGAGGATTAACCCCTTAGGTTCCACAGTGAGTATAACAAGCATGCTTTACTGCATATGCAGACTGATTTTACTGTTGTGGGTGTACTAACACTTTAAGAACTGATGAATTCTGATTATATGTTCTCTTTGCCTAAGAAGGCTTCCCATATGGTGCCCACACACTGCAAATCATTAGAAGAATTTGAATGTGAATTCAACTAACAGCAAAAAACATAATGTATTGGCCTCAACAAAAACTTTGTTCGTTCACTCTTCCACACTTCACTGAAAGAATAAAAGGGGAAATCTACAAAAGATTAGGAGAAAGGTACATAAGGTTAAAAAAAAGACTTTGACTATCACTATTGGGTTCTAGGGGCAATAGAGGTGGTACCTCTTAGGCATTATTAAAAGAGATACTATAGTGTATGCCAGGGGTGGACTGACCATTCGAGCACTCGAGCACCGTACTAGGGCCCAGGGTCAGTAGGGGGCCCCATGAGATGCCCCTGGTACCATTCATTGGCTTTTTCATAGGCTTTTTTGGGTGTGGGCGAGGACATGGGGGCCCCATGATCCCCTATTGCCCAAGGGCCCATGAGTTGTCAGTCCGCCCCTGGTGTATGCCCATGCATGGGCCATATGTTCTGTGCAGTGCAGGCAGTCCCATTCATTTCAATATGAGCACAGCGGATGTGGGTGCACGGCCCCAAATGCACATCGTCTGTATTCATGGCTCAAGTGGGTTTCAAAATGGAAGTACAGGCAGTGTCTTTGCAGACACTGTGTTCCAACTGAAATGAGTGGAACCGCTTGCACAGGGATGCATAGAACACCTGTCCTCCCCGTGCGGGCTAACTCGGCCCTTGCACGGGTATACACTATAGTACATCTGTGTGAACAAGGCCTTGCTGACACTATGACATGGTATGGGGATTAAAATGTGAAGCCCCCAGCTTTCCTTCAATGGAGTACTGGACCCTATGCTTGCTTAGGACATACAGATGGGTGAAAAAATGATGTGTAGCTGTTTTATTTTTTTTACAGGTCTGAACACAGGTGCATTTTTGTCTATGGGACACCTGGCTATGCAAGATCAATGTTGGAAAATAAAAAAAAAGAACGTTTTATATTTCAGTTCATTCATTTACTTGTATATGCAAGTATATACAAGACATAAATTGCAATCCTTGCAGCTAGAGAATGAAGTATGAATGAAGAATGAAGAATGAAAATTTCACATGTGTCTATACATAGTTATGCACCTGTATGTGCGTAAACGCAAGATCTTTATGCAACATAGTTACATATAGTAACATAGTTAGTCTAGCTGAAAAAAGACAAAAGTCCATCCAGTTCAACCATAAAGAAAAAAAGAAAAAAATGTTATAAACCTATACCCACAGTTGATCCAGAGGAAGGCAAAAAACCCAGCAAAGCATGATCCAATTTGCTCCTGCTGGGAAAAAAATTCCTTCCTTCCACATAACTTGTGTTTTTTTTTACTCGGCAAAATCCTGCATATAACCATCAGTAAATTCTTATGTCCGTGTGCAAAAGGTCTAAAACTGCTATCTACAACCTTGGTAACTTATGCCGCTGTATGCGATATTTATACAGTACGTTTTGTTGTACACCATCCCTATCTCGTCTATTTATTCTCTTGTAAGAATTTTATCTACATATACCGACCTGTGTCTGCTTGCCTTTGTGTTTTGCCAAAATAGGCAGAAATGATATTATACCGTCTCACAGGTAGAGCCTGAAATAAAAGTCTCTTTATAGCTTTGTAGAATATCTGCATGTGCTATATAAATAAATGATCAAATCGATAAGCGCCTCCACAGAGCTGTACGGCACAGCTATAACCAATCTTCGGTTTATTATCATCTGTTTACGGCACAATAGATTTCTAAAAAACACCAAACTGTATCTAGCAGCTAGGTGGTATTTTGAATCAGGACAGAAATGCTTTTACACTAGGGTTGCTACGTGTTTTATCCTGAATTAATTGATCCTTGTCACTTTCCTCTTGTCTAACAATAGCAACAGTCCACACACCTGTACAAATAACAGAACTATTACCTAGCGTTGACACCGCGTCCACCCTTTTTCTCTACATTATAATAATAGTCGGTGTTGAATTGTAAATTGAAAATCTAGTGGTAACAAGGTTGGCTTGTTTACCTATCTGCAGTATGTTACCACATATACTTTTGATAAAGACCTGAGCTGACATCCTTGTTCAGCAGGATCCCCCTCCTACAGGTTCCACAGGTGTTCCACAATAACACCTGTTTCATGGAGAACAAATACGATTTGTTTCAATATGCATATTACCTTAGTAGTCAGACAACATTTCCTCAGCATACACATTGAACTGTTTGTTTTAAACTCTCAGTGAATCCAAACAAACACAGGCCAGCTAGACCAGGCATGGATATGTTCACACACACTGCAAGCTTTCCTGCGAAAATATATTCCCCAAAACACAGCAAAGGAGCTATGTATACCATAAACACTGAGCACTTTTATGAAGCATAGAAATACATCTCAAAGGACTATACTTGAGAAAATAAATATATTTTTCTGTTTGAAGCTGTGTTTTCATTTGTGCCGAGTATAGAGCTACCCGCGCAGCAGCCTCTCAGTTTAACCACTTACAATCCGGATTACGGCAATACGGAGCTGCGTTACTTTAACTGGCTAATAAAATAAATAACAAGCGAGCGCACTATTATTTCAAGCAGTTAGCATTAAGGATGAACCCCTGTATTCTCAAATTGACAAATTATTTATTTGTTACTTTAACTGACAATTGCATGACCATGCAACACTGCACCCAAATTAAATTTGCATTCTTTTTTTCCCCACAAATAGAGCTTTCTTTTGGTGGTACTTAATCGCCTGTGTGTTTCTTATGCTATAAACAAAAAAAGACCAACAAGTTTGAGAAAAAAAACATTTTGACATTTTGCTATTAACCTCCCTGGCGGTATGATTATTTCAGATTTTTGGTGCTGAAAGCGGTACCATTATTTTGCATGGAAATATGTAGTTTTTTTATTGTAGGCTGTAATATTTAGGAATAACTCACTGAAATCTGTCCGAACAAGAGTCTAGTAAATCCCGGGTATGATAAAATTTGAAAGACAAAATCATAAATTATAATTTAATAAATAATCATAAAAAATAATAATATAATAATAATACATTTAATTCAATAATATATCAAACCAAAAACACTGAAATTTGAAATAGAGCGCCAAGTTCGCACATCGCTGAGCAAAGTCGCAAAATTGTTTTCAGTGTCTGATGACGAATTTCTCCACGAATCATTATCACTCAATTCTGCAAGTGGTTCTGATTTACTATCGCTGTTCTCTAGCTGATGTAAACCTGCTTTTGACCTAAAGGGATGCTTTTTGGACACCATGGACATTTCTCAGTTTTCAGACAGAAAGAACAGTCAAAATGCACACGGGGACAGGACAAAGCACTCGGGACAAAATGTATGTGAAATGGTTTGAAACAGCAATGTTTTACTATGTAAAATTCGTTTTGAAAAAAATGAAATTTTTTTAAAATTTTCAAATTTCCCGCCGCCTGAGGCGGCGCCCGTACGTCCCGACGTCACAGGGACCGGAACACAGAAGCCGGATGCCGGCATCAGCCGGAGCAGATGGCTGGGGATGCTGCAGGGGACATATCGCGGGAGTGAAGGACAAGGTAAGCTCTGCAGGGACTCCCTATGCAGCGCCACATGGTAAGCCCGAGTGTAGCTCGGGGTTACCGCTTTTGGTACAGAAACTTTACCCCGAGCTACACTCGGGAATACCGCCAGGGAGGTTAAACATGTCCAGTAAAGAAATTTAAAAAATCTAATTTTGTCATAAATTTAGGCCAAAATGTATTCTGCTACGTCTTTGCTGAAAAAAAATCCCAACACGTGTAAGTTAATTGGTTTATTTGACAGTTACATCGTCTGCAAATGGTGGTATAGATACTGGAATTTATTTTTTTTTTATACTAGTAATGGCGGCAATCAGCGACTTACAGCAGGACTGCGTCGGGCACTCTGACACTGGGGGGAACTAACTGTCACTGACATCCCCAGTGATACCAATACACAGTGATCAGTGCTAATAAAAAGCACTGACACTCTACTAATGTCACTGGGCAGCAAGGGGTTAACATCTGGGGCAATCAAAGGGTTAACTGTGTGGTGTGTCAACGTGTGCTGTGTGTGTGCTTTACATTGTAAGCACATTGCTTTGTATGGCTCTGCTATGCAGAACCGTACAAAGCAGTGTGCAGGAGCTGACAGGTGAGAGATTTGTATTGTTTACATACAGGTCTTTCTCTCCGTTAGTGATACACGGCAATCGCCGGGTGCTGGTGGGGAATCACTGGCCGGAACCTGGTGATCAACAGGTGAGGTCACCAATGGCGGCACGGGTAGGGCGGTCACATGGCTTGCGCGTGTCCCCTACCCAGAAATGCAATATCATGTATATACACGTGATTTTGCGCACCCCTGCCGCCCTGTAGCAGTATTTCTGCTATAGGGCAGCAGGAAAGCAGTTAAAGGATAAGTTCACTTTAGTACATTCATGCTATATTAGCAAATAGGGGAACTGGAATTTAGAAAAAAAAAACGTGAACAAAGGTTGTAGAAATTCAAAAACTTTTCATTTTTTCTACCCACCTTTAGATGGCTGTCCAAAAAGCTTCTCCATTACTTATTTCCTGTAGAGACTTTAAGTCATGAAACAGGAGGAGTTGACCAGCTGACCTCATTAGCACACACCCTGTGTCATCTACCCTCCTACCTACCACCCACTTCCATGCACCACTTGCACAAATATTAAATGAAAAGCAATCAATCGGTGATCACTGATCTCACTAAATACACAGGCATTGATTTATATATTTCTGTATTAAACCACCCAAAAGGGGAGCTTCCGCTTTAACGACTGGTCCACAGCTCCCCATTAAGGATTGGCACCTTTAGGAAGTGTAGTGGGCAGGTACCTGATATTGGCAGGTTCCCAGCTCTTACTTACGCTGCAATCGCCTAGGCGATAGGAAGCGGAAGTTGTTCTCCCTCCCTGTAGTCTTCTGGGACATGTGGCAGGTCCCAGAAGATTACGGGACCATTCACAAGGCACAGCGCTACTCATGCATGCACAGTGGGCACCCTATGTACTTGTATAAAGATGGCCATACGCTACACAATCTGATTGTACAATCTTTGTACAATTTCCTTTAGATTTTCCAAAACTATGGAATAGGAGGACCCACCTATCTACTCAATCATTCTGTATCCCTTGCAGTACATAGTTGATGGTAGATTTAAAGGAGATATCAGATTGTATAGTGTATATGAACTTTACAGAACCCAGAACACAATACTCCTGTTTTCAATACTACAGATCTATCCACATAGGCTATTATCTGTTCACTCAACATACGCTGCCAAATGAATGATCTATACAAGATGAAAGTTATGGTAGAAAACTAAAAATCGATGCCTGTGTATTTAGTGCGAACAGTGATCACTGATTGATTGCTTTTCATTTAATATTCATGCACCTGGAAGTGGGTGGTAGGTAGGAGGGTAGATGACGCAGGGTGTGTGTTATTGAGGTCAGCTTGTCAATTCCTTCCTGTGTCATGACTTAGCTTCTCTGCAGGAAATAAGGCAGAAGTAAAAATTGAAAGCTTTTGAATTTCTACAAAAGATGTACATTAATGCTATATTGGTACATAGAGGAGCTGGAATTTAGAAAAAAAAAAACGTGAACAAAGGCGAACTTATCCTTTAACTGGTTCTTTCCCAAAGCAGTGCAAAGGCAGTCAGGCACACAGCAACAGTCCATTCATTCTGGCTCCAATAAACATAGTGCCTGGTACACAATGAAAAAAAATGAGGCGCTTAGGAGGTGGTTGCTGTACTAACAATGTGATTTTAATACAGCGATTTCCCCGCTGAACAATTGTGTTCCGACAGGGGGACTGCCCGCTCACCAGAACACACCGGTCAGTGCTCGCAGCCATTGACTGGTAGTACTGGCCAGATGCTGACTGGCAGATACTTTTCTAGCATGCTATTCTACAGAAGCTGGATAGGCTGCTGTAAACAGCTGCTGGGAGAGGGCTGAGGGTGATATGGGATACTCAAAACATGCTGAATAGTAACAGGAGGACACTTTTGACTAGGCCAGGCTTCTTTGAATTTTGTTCTATTAGGGGGCATGTTGGATATATTCAGGATAACTGATATCTCATCTGCTGATGCCTCTTAAGGAGTTACTATTTCTTGATTACATTATGCATGTGAGGCTATGATATCAAGAACATTGTTTTTGACGTCTATCCATTTTCTAAGTAAGTAGTTGACAGGTATAATGTTTGTAAAGTGAGTGGAAGGATATGCACAGGTGAGTTGTTGTTAAAAGAAAGGCTTTGATTTACTTTGTCCCATGGAGATTACCCCGGCTGGCTTGCCGTCCAGGTATGTTCCTTGCTGCCTAAGTGCCTGCCGAAAGAAATTTCTGTGTATGAGCTACAGTACATTGGCTTGTCATAAGTTATAGACCATCTCCTATATATTGTATACAAATACAAAGTAGGCATTTTACATAGTATGTAGCGTCCCTCTAGTTAGCTAGGGGGAGTTAGCTAGTTTTTTTTTTTTTTTAGAGAAAGGCTGAATAGAAGTCTGGGCATGTCAGCCTGGGTGTGAGACAGCCACGTCGGTTTTGGTCAGGCCTCTGCAGATCAGTTCCCTGAGACCTCCCCCTGCTGTAGAGACTTGAAGTTTCTAGAAGGCAGTGGATGAGGGTGAGGATGGGCTGATCTGCATACTTTAGGAATCCTGACCAATCTCCAACAGGAGGCTTGGCATGAGGTCAGGACAGCCTTTAAGTGTGACGGAGCTTGCTCAGCAGCAGGAGAGTTTGGGAGGAAGATGAGTGAGAGTCTGTAATGCAGGAGCATGGGAGAGGGCCCAGTTGGATGAGACTACCTCCAGGCTGAAGCTCAAATGAGAATCTTTCAACCTCAACAGTCCCCTGAGAGAGGACCACCTGTGCAGCAGGGAAGAAGCCAACCCAGCAGAAGACCTGAAGGCAGCCACCAACCCAACAAGATCACAAGAGAGGAAGAGAGAGTACTCTTACACCCCCTGGGCTGGATAAGGGGAAAGGGCATTCTGATGAGAAACTAACCCCTATCTGGGACTGTTTGACTTAAAGAGAAAGATTCTGGGTCCCCTTGCACATGGATTTACCCAGTAGAGCTGGATGAGCAGAGGATTCATCTGGGATCTGGGGTGTTACATCAATAGAGGTTGGTGAGCTCTCCAGGAAGAAACCCTTTTTTACTGTATAGAGACTTGTACATAGTTGTTAATGAGTTGTCCTCAGTTTCAGTTCCCTTGGGCATCCCATACACCCCTCAACCCCATCCAAGTTCAATACCCCTAATAAAACTGAAAAAAAAAACAAGCTCAAGGACTGTTTACTGTCTCCAGAATGCAAATCTGTGGAAAAAATGCTTGTTCCCTGGCTGTGCAGGACTATAAAGGACCCAAATCTTCAGCAACTCCTAAGGGGGGGTTGCTACAAGTACATGTGATGTTAAATGATTATTACTACCTACACAGCTACAACTGCAATGTCTCACCTTCTGTTCTGATGAAGAAGCAATGGGAAACATGTTGACCAATATAGAACATTCACCAGTTAAAATGTTTCAACAAGCATAGGTTATACATTATACTGATATGGAGAATTATTACCATGTGGCAAAATATTTTATATACTGTTGGTATTTTTTTTAGCTTTAAACATGAGTAGAAATAGGACCCCCAGTCCTGCCACAGCAGGGACCTCGTTGAACCTCAGGAAATTCCAGCAAAACTGCTTCATAGGGGCAGAATCTTTGAGGCTGAGGACTTCTCCAGCAGAACAAAAACATGGCTGCTCCAGGCCTCAGACAGTTTGGGGTTTATTTACTAAAGCTGGAGAGTCCAAAATCAGACTCACTTCTGCATAGAAACCAATCAGCTTCCAGGTTTCATTGCCAAAGCTTCATTGAACAAGCTGAGGTTAGAAGCTGATTGGTTTCTATGCAGAAGGGAGTCTGATTTTGGACTCTCCAGCTTTAGTAAATAAACCCCTTTATGTCCCCTCTCCAGCATCACTTTCTTTCCCGTGCAAGTATCTGATAGGTCACCTTGTGAATTTAAACAATTCTTTGTTTTGATCATGAGATTTCTTTATGCATTATGCTAACACCAGTAAAACTGGCCATAAACAGTGAAATCTTTTTTCAGCCCTTTGGCAGAATGAAAAAACACAAATGAGGTGGAGGTTGTCAGAATACAACAATCAGTGGCTGCAGCTGCTGATCAAAGAAAATTTCCCAACATGTCCCTTTGACAGAAGTCAATCAATCTTCTGTCTAGCAGAACGGCTACACACTGATCAAAATTTGGCCCATCCCCACTGAACTGGTTGAATTTTGATCAGTGTATGACCAGCTTAACATAACTTAAGGTATAAGTAAAGACAAAATGTTTTTAGCTTTGGATAGAGTGCAAAGGGATGGGAACACCTGTCAGGTTTTTATTGCTATCTGTGTCCCTGTTAGGGAGATCCACCCTCTCTTTTGGTCCTATTTACCATTATCACTAGCAGTAAAAAAGAAAGAAAATCCCAAATTTTTGGTTGTCACCAAAACAGGAACAGAGGGGAGAATTTTCAAATGGAGACACTAGTTCTGGTGATATCTGTGGCAGAAAGTGTGAGGTAATCTCCATTAGCCTTCACAGAGCAATAAAAACACAACACAATAAAAACA